TGCAGTGAGCCGAGATTGAGCCATTGCACTCCAGCCTGGGCCACAAGGGCAAAACTCCATCTCAAAAGAAAAAAAACACAAAGCTGAAGTTTAGGGCTCGCCAAGGAAGGAGAGCTTGGCAAACCCCCAGGTTTGGACTGGGACTCCAAAAAGGGCTGATACTCACTTTCATTCAGAATAAAGGTGAATCAGAAATAGGATAGTCCCTGTATGGAATAAAGCCTAGCTTGAAATAATCTCATTTCAACCTCCGATTAAAGTAATTCAGGGCCAGATGTGGTGGTTTACACCTATAATCCCAGCACTTTGGGAGGCCAAGGCAGGGGGATCACCTGAGGTCACGAGTTTGAGACCAGCTGGGCCAACATGGTGAAACCCCATCTCTACTAAAAATACAAAAAAAGGAGCCTGGCGTGGTGGCCTGCACCTGTAGTCCCAGCTACTCAGGAGGCTGAGGCAGAAGAATCGCTTGAATCCGGGAGGTGGAGGCTGCAGTGAGCTGAGATCATGCCACTACACTCCAGCCTGCACAACTCCATCTCAAACCCCCGCCTCCGCCCAAAAAACCCAGAAACAAAAACAAGAACTTTGCATTGTCCAGGAAGAGCTAAAAGTACTAACAGATTTCAAAAAGCCAAGGATGCATGTTTTTTTGTTTTTGTTTGAGACGAAGTCTCACTCTGTTGCCCAAGCTGGAGTGTAGTGGTGCGATCTCGGCTCACTACAACCTCCACCTCCCAGGTTCAAGCGATTCTCTTGCCTCAGCCTCCCGAGTAGCTGGGATTACAGGCATGTGCCACCATGCCTGGCTAATTTTTGTATTTTTAGTAGAGACAGGGTTCCACTATGTTGGCCAGGCTGGTCTTGAACTCCACCCGCCTTGGCTTCCCAAAGTGCTGGGATTACAGGTGTCAGCCAGGATACATGTTTTGTTTTGTTTTGTGTGAGACAGAGTCTCACTCTGTTGCCCAGGCTGGAGTGCAGTGGTGCGATCTTGGCTCACTGCAACCTCTGCTTCCCAGGTTCAAGCCATTCTCCTGCCTCAGCCTCTCTAGTAGCTGGGATTACAGGCACCCACCACCTCACCCAGCTGATTTTTGTATTTTTAGTAGAGATGGGGTTTCACCATGTTGGCCAGGATGGTCTCCATCTCTTGGCCTCCCAAAGTGCTGGGATTACAGGCATGAGCCACCGCCCCCGGCCCAGGATACATGTTTTAATATCTAGCAGCCCTTCTTGACCAAAGATCTAAGTCCTAATGTCATGAGGCACTCACTATACATAATAAGTTAAATTCTCTCCTATGCATTTAACAGGGTTTGGGTTTTTTGTTTTTGCTTTTTGTTTTGTTTTGAAAAGGGGTCTCACTTTGTCACCCAGGCTGGAGTGCAGTGGCACAATCACAGCTCCCTGCAGTCTTGACCTCTTGGGCTCAAGCGATCTTCCCACCTCAGCTTCCTAAGAAACTGGGACTACAGGTGTGCACTTCCACACCCAGCTAATTTTTTTCTGTTGTTTTTTTGTTTTTTGTTTTTGTAGAGATTGGGTCTCTCCTTGTGTTGCCCGGGCTGGTCTCGAACTTCTGGGCTCAAGCGATCCTCCTGCCTTGGCCTCCCAAAATGCTGGGACTGCAGGCATAAGCCACTGCACCTGGCCTCCTATGCATTTTAAAATGGTACTAGCTATGTCCCATCCTTCAGAAAATTGAGGAAATAGTTGCTCAAATCCCTTCCTGTAGGGCTTAGTTCTCTTGAAGAAATATGGGTAAGAAGAATGCTGAGGTAATCACGAAAAGAACAACATGCAAGCATATAACTAATAAATCAATAAAATGGGGAAGTGGGATAACAAATCATATCAATCCAAAGGAGAACATGGGAAAGGCAAGATGGGAAACAGCTAACAGTAGATGGCAACTTTTAACCCAAGTATTTAAGTAATTACATTAAATGCAAACTGTATCAGTGGAATCTTAAAAAGTTGAATTCAAAGAAGCATAAAGTAGAATGGTGTTTACCAAGGGTTAGGGGATGGGGCGAGGACTGGGGAGATACTGGTCAAAGAATACATAATGTCACTTAGGAAAAAAGAGTAAGTTCAGGAAACCTATTGTATAACATGATGACTATCATTAGTAACAGTGTATTTATACACTTCAAAATTGCTGAGAGCAGATTTTAAAAGTTCTCACCACAAAAATTTGAAGTAATGGGTACGTTAATTAACTTGATTATATCAAAACATCATGTTGTATGCCATAAATATGTATTCTTTTTAAGTTAATTTTATTTTATTCTATTTTTGTACAAACAGGGTTTTGCCATGTTGGTCAGGCTGGTCTTGAACTGCTGGCCTCAAGTGATCCACCAGCCTTGGCTTCCCAAAGTTCTGGGATTACAGGTGTGAACCACCGTGCCCAGACTTTATGTTAATTTTTAAATAAATAAATAGAAAGATATAAACCGTATCAATGCTCTAAAAGACTGGATAATAACAAATCCCAATGTATGCCACTTGAAAGATACTCCTTAAGTAGAAGGATAGAGAAAAGATAACAGTAAATGATGGGAAAAGATGCACCCTGCAGATTCTAACCAAAAGCAAGCAAGATATCAGACAAAACTGACTTTAAGAGGCAAAAGGGGTAGATGATGAGAAATTACTTAATGGGTACAATGTGCATTATTTGGGGAATAGATATGGATACCCTGATAGCCCTGACTTCACCACTATACCATCTATGTGTGTTACAAAATCACACTTGTATCTTATAACTTTACTCATGTAAAATAAGAATTGGCCGGGTGCAGTGGCCCACCCCTGTCATCCTAATACTTTGGGAGGCCAAGGCGGGCAGATCACTTGAGGTCAGGAGTTTAAGACTAACCTGGCCAACATGATGAAACCCCATCTCTACTAAAAATACGAAAATTAGCCAGGCTTCGTGATGCATGCCTGTAATCCCAGCTACTAAGGAGGCTGAGGCAGGAGAATTGCTTGAACCCAAGAGGTTGCAGTGAGCCGAGATCTCGCCATTGCACTCCAGCCTGTGGGACAAGCAAAACTCTGTCTCAAAAAAATAAAATAAAATATAAAATAATAATAAAAGGCAAAAAGAATATTTAAGATAAAAAGAAACTTCATAAAGTATCTAATCTAGTTGTAAATGAGCACCTAATAACATTGCATCAAAACGTATAAAACAAATGATGACAGAACCTAAAGAAAAAGTAGACAAAACCTCAATCTCAGAAGGAGATGTCAGCCGGGCGCAGTGGCTCATGCCTGTAATCCCAGCACTTTGGGAGGCCGAGGCTGGCAGATCATGAGGTCAGATCGAGACCATCCTGGCTAACCCCGTGAAACCCCGTCTCTACTAAAAATACAAAAAACTAGCCGGGCGAGGTGGTGGGCGCCTGTAGTCCCAGCTACTCGGGAGGCTGAGGCAGGAGAATGGTGTGAACCCAGGAGGCAGAGGTTGCAGTG